TTGTTTACTTCCTTGGTACTTATTCAGAGGATGTGGAATTGTCCTCAGTCCTTTCTTCTGATTCTTTTCGAGTTAATTGTTTCCTCAGATGCTTCCCTGTGTAGAGGGATGTGAAAATCCCACAGGTTCCATTTTGTTCAACCAGGACCTAACTTTAGCCTCTAAAACAGGGTTTCTCCTCAAGACCACGTAAACTAACTTTTCCCTTCACTCTCTTCCTTCCCATGATTTAAATCTGAGCTTGTATAGCCACATTATTATTATAACTTAGGTACCTTAATGGATCTCGGTTTTCTTAAAAATGGAGTTATAAAGGGACACCTGGGTGGCTCATTGGTTAAGCATTGGACTCTTGATTTCAGCTCAGGTCACAATCTCCCCTGTCGTGAGTTCCAGCCTTGTGTTGGGCTCTGTGCTGCCAGTGTTGAGTCTGCTTAGGATTCTCTCTCTCCTTCTCTTTCTGCCCCTCCCTCACTCTCTCTCTCTCTCTCTCTCTCTCAAAATAAATAAACTTAAAAACAACTAGTTAAATTGTTTTTAAAAGAATAGAGTTACAGGGGCGCCTGGGTGGCTCAGTCAGTTCAGCGTCCCATTTCAGCTCAGGTCATGATCTTACGGTTCATGGGTTTGAGCCCCACATCGGGCTCTGTGCTGACATCTCAGAGCCTGGATCCTGCTTCGGATTCTGTGCCTCCCTCTCTCTCTGCCCCTCCCCCCATTTTCTCTCTCTCTCTAATATAAAATAAAGCATAAAAACTTAAAAAAGGAGAAAGAGTTATAAATAACTGAAAAAAGAATGTTTTTAGGAGAAATTCTATACATCAATTATAGGCAAGCAAGAAAAATTTATGTATAATTAGGGGTTTCTGGATCACCTTGGTGATACTCAAGCAGTAGGAGGTAGGCAACCATCTACCTAAAAGATCACCTTCTTCAGAAAATAGTTGTCCATCCTGTCACATTGAGTATTATGACAAAGGGTTCCTGGCATGATGATGGTACCAAAGTACACTGAGTTTCCCTGCTGCTGGAGGAAAGACTAGAAGTTCCTGCAGGTGGATAAAGGCGTTGTCTGCAAGCAAGTCAGAATTTTTAATAACGTGAAGAATGTGTACTAAGATATTCTATGACATGCGGGCACTACATCAATTTTTCAGATATATTAAGAACACATACTGTGTACAAGGAACTGTTAGGTTAAACAACCTAGGTTGTTAACCTAGGTTAAGCAACCCTGAGGTTGCTTATGATACGGTAGAAAATACACTATGTGTTTGGGAAATATATTTAGAGTATAATCTACTTATAGAAACTTTCTCAGGATGTATACTGCAGTTATTTTCAGAAACAAAAATTTCCTTCACTCCAAAGGAGAACGTTACTAGCGTCTGTAGAATTCGTCCCGAGAACCACCGCAAGGTGACGTCTAGCAAGCTAGGTTAGTTTTAAGTTCTTAAAGTATACACAGCTTTTACACTTTTTTTTTTTTTTACCTTGCTCATTTCGTGGAGCAGTATGTTTGTGAAATTTCTCCATGTTGTTGCACATGGAAGCAGTGAGTTCACTTCCCTGCTGTGTCGTTTCCCAGTGTGCTAACATGTCATGAAATAATTTATCTCCTCTAGAGCAACAGTCAAACTATAGCGCAAAGTATGTTTGGACGTGAGACACTTCCTATTTATATACATTTATATACGGTCGAGGATTGTTCTGGCAATACACGGACCATCCTAAGGGACTGTGACTAAGAATTTATGGCCTGCAAACCCTAAAATATGCCGCATTTAACACTTTAGGAAAAATTTTTGTTAACTCTTGTCCTGTTGTGTTGATCTAAGTTGTTTTCAGTTTGATGCTAATGATAATAATGCAATGAGGAATATTTGCACACATGTCTTGGGCAGACATACTCACTCATTTCACCTCAGCATAAATCTGGGAATAGAGTTTTTAGGTCATAAGACATTTATGTGGCCAGCACGAGCAGACATAAGCATACGGTTTTGCAAAGTAAAATGCCAATTCTGCTTTCTACTGTCAGGGTGTAAGAACTACGATTGTTCCATATCGTCATCAATACTTGGCATTTCAATTGTTTACATATTTTGCTCTTCTATATGCAAATCAGAATATACTACATTTACATATTCATTTTTATTTTCTTGAATACCAATGCAGTTGGATATCCACTCTCTGAAGTGCCTAGGAAATTCTGAATTTGCGTAACTGGCCACTAAAATGGGTCACACTGACAAGTACTTGGCTCTCTGAAATTGGTATTATCTACCTGGCTTCAAATTTAGGGAGAGGTAACCCAAAATTAGTTGAGTCAGTCAATTCTATTTTTGGAATTCCATTTCTGGGGTGTAGAAGTTCCTATTTCTTCGTTCACACCCACTAGATCTGAAAAAACAGTTAATATGTAGATCAAATCAGTCTTCAGATACTGGAAAATATGGTGGCTGTCCTAAGGGAGCAATGCTGGTTAATCAGATTGCATATTAAAATTCTCTAATTTTAAGTAGCAATCCACTCACACTCTCTTTTTTTGGACTTAAATATTTTAAGCAATGTTTTCTTCCATGCTGCTGCTCTTAATTTTAAAAGTGCCTGTGTTCATTGAGAAAATATGGTACAGATGAAAACCTTTCAAACCTTTTATTAATAAATAAATTTCTTCACAGTTTTTCTTTTCCAGCATGACACCCAGTGACAGGTCACAGGGTTCCACAAATGCCCTCTGAAAAAGGAGAGGAATTGTTTCTTCCACTCTAAAATGTTTGCCCACAAAACTATTTAAAAGTAGCAGCTACAAAATCTAAGAAATTCAGTAGTTTTTATCTTCAAAAATTGTAATGGATAATTAAGAGTGTCTTTGGGTCTGATATGGTTCTTTAAATATAAGGATATTCCCATGCTATTTCAACAAGTTGTTTTAGTCATTAGAAATTAAGACAGAGAAAGTTCAAATAGACCAATATCAAGAACATACACACATAAATGCTCTTTGTTTCTAGTGTAACTAATATGTAGGTGTTTACAGACTCATTATCTTGGTATCCACAATCATTTTATGTACTTCCTCAAAAGTTATAGAAAACAAAATATAATATAATATAATATAATAATATAATATAATATAATATATAGCATAACAGTATAATAATAAATTGCATATATATATATATATATTCCGACTACATACTTTACAGTTATATAATTGTGTTACTAATTTCTAATAAACATTCAAAAATGTTGCCTGGTGTTTTTAATTTATCATTTAATTTTTTTTTCCATTTTGTGTCCCATACAGTAAGCAGGTACTTTGGATAATACAAACAAAATGTTCAATTCTTTTTTTAATTTTTTAATGCTTATTTATTTTTGAGAGAGAGAGACAGTGTGAGTGGGAGAGGGGCTGAGAGAGAGAGGCAGGCAGGGAATCTGAAGCAGTCTCCAGGCTCTGAGCTGTCAGCACAGACCCCAGAATGGGGCTCGAACTCATGGACCATGAGATCATGACCTGAGCCTAAGTCAGACACTTAACTGACTGAGCCTCCCAGGTACCACCCATGTGCCCCCAAAGTGTTCAATTCTTGACAAAGAATGCTCCCAACCACATATTAGAAGCAATTATTTAGTAAACAGAATGATATTAAAACAGTGTTTAAGGGAGAGGTTTTACTATGTATTACAAAAAGAGACATTTATCCAGGACAGAGAAGAGAAAAGAAAGGAAGGAAATTTCCCTGGAGGATTGGTAGAGGAACTGATTTTTGATAATTACAGCACAATGATGCCCAAAGCCCTTTCCGCTGTTCTTTATAACCTAACCATTTTGATTCCTTTTCTTCTCCCCCACTTTCTTGGGATCAAATTGACATATAACATTGGGAATTTTTAAAAGGGTACAAGGTGGGTTTTGATATATGTCTACTTGGTGAAATCATCATTGCTATAACGTTAATAAACACATTCGTTGCCTTACATAGTTACCAACTTTATATCGTGTTGAGAACATTTAAGAACAAATTCTTAGCAAATTTCAATTATGCAATACAGTATTGTTAATTGTAGTCACCTTACTGCACACTATGTCCCCCAAAGCTTATTCAGCTTATAACAGAAAGTTTGTACTATCTGACCAACGTGTCCCCATTTTTCCCACTCCCCAAACTGCTGGCAACCACTGTTCTACTCTCTGCTTTTATGAGTCCAGCTTTTTTAGATTCCGCAAACAAGTGAGATCATATAATATTTATCTTTCTCTGTCTGACTTATTTCACTCGGCATAATGCCTTCAAGGTCCATCCATGTTTTGGCCACCAGAACTTCTTTACTTTTAAAAGTCATGACTTGGCCACCGCAAGACCTCTCTGATTGTCAGATACACTGCCTACTATCTTTACTTCTCCAAGATCCAACTTGCATCTTTTGAGATCTTTTGAGACTCAATATCTCCAGCCAATGAAGCCTTTCTTTTATACTAGATTTAGACATTTTCTGTGGATAAAGCCCCCTGTTTTTTTACTTCATGATGAATTTGAAAGTTATGAATTATTTGGTGCTTAGTTAAGTAATGTTGGTTACCTTGAGTAGATTACAAGATTTGTTAGTACAGAAACTACTGGATATGCCATGGGATACAAAGCATTTAAATACCCAAGTTCACTTAGTAAGCACACACTCAATCTAAGTATAATAAATTAATGTTTGAATGAATGAAAGAATGAACAAATAAAAATCTGGCAAAATGAGAAAAGTGCGAAAAGTTTTCCACAAAGAAAGAGTACCGTATACAAAATATAGATGCATAATAAAGTATGATATATATAAGGAACTGCAATATTATTGTGATAGGGCTTCAAAACAAACTCATCTTATTCAATTAAAGTTTTCGAGACAACTTTATTTCTCTTCTGTTATGCAATATAATTTTATATAAACTATAACCACAAAGTATGTGTGTGTGTGTGTGTGTGTGTGTGTGCATGTGATATTTAAAACCATCTTTTAATTTTTATTTTTTTCAGGGCCTCTTTCACATCTTTGTTCCTCAGGCTGTAAATCAGTGGGTTTAACATGGGAATCACAAGGGTGTAAAACAAGGAGGTCATTTTATCTTGATCAAGAGAGTAGGAAGAACTCGGGCGGAAATACATGAAGAGCAGGGTTCCCTGGAAAATTGCAACAGCAGTTAAGTGGGAGGTGCAGGTGGAGAAAGCTTTGAACCTCCCCTCAGCAGAGTGGACCTTCAGGACGGATAGGATTATATAACAATAAGAGATAAGGACTCCTAAAATGGTACTCAGTTCAATGAAGCCAAAAAATGTGAATAATGCCAACTCATTGATCTCTGTATTTGAGCAGGAAAGAAGGTAGAGTGGAGGTAGATCACAGAAGAAATGATTAATCTCCTTTGATCCACAGAAACATAACTGGAATGTTAGTGTCGTGTGTATCAAAGCATCTGCCATGGCCAGCACGTAAACCCCGGCCATGAGCAGGAAGCACACTCTGCTGGACATGTTGACCGTGTAGAGCAAGGGGTTGCTAATGGCCTTGTACCGATCAAAGGCCATCACCGCCAGCAGTAGGCATTCGGAATCAGCAAACGTACAGAAGACCAAGAATTGCAGAGCACAGCCAACGAAAGGGATTGATGTGTTTTTGGCTAGAAGGTCTACCAACATTTTGGGCCCAACTGCTGTGGAATAACAGAGGTCACAGAAAGAGAGGTGGCTAAGGAAAAAGTACATTGGTGTGTTCAAATGAGAATTCATTCTAATTAGAATAATCATTCCGAGGTTTGCAAAAAGATTAATGAGATAAATAACAAGAAACATTGTAAATAGGGTTGCTCTCATCCCAGGGTTATTGGTAATTCCCAAGAAAATGAAATCAGTCAAGGATGAACAATTTCCTACATCCATTCTTCTATATCCTTGTCTAAACTTTTGAGAACATGGCCAAGACGATGATAGATACACATGTAACTCTTCCGACAGCCACAAAATACCTGTAAGGCAGAACACAATTTCTTCCCTCAACTGTCTTTTATACTCATAAAATTACTTGGTCAATTCTTTAAAGAGGCATTGCTACCTCTATGGCAATAATAAAAATATCTACGATAGGTCGTTAAGAAACTTTGATATAAATCTAGATGTCATTTAGGGCACCTGGGTGGCTCAGTCGGTTAGGTGTCCAACTCTGGATTTCAGCTCAGTTTCTCACGGTTTGTGAGTTCATGCCCCACATTGTGAAGAGTACTGTCAGTGCAGAGTCGGCTTGGGATTCTCTCTCTCTTTCTCTGCCCCTCCCCCTGCTGTCTCTCTCTCTTTCTCTCTCTCTCTCTGTCTCAAAATAAGCAAGTAAATAAATAAATAAACTGTATAAATCTAGATGTCATTTATGAGGGATGCAACTTTCAACAAGCTCTTTAATTCCTCCAAATATCACCTTCCTTTTATCAAGGATGATATTTGGGTGAATTGATATCTCATTCATCTTCAAAATAACCTGAAGAAGCACCAATGTTAGGCCATAAGATGGAGGACTAAGCCTTTTCTCTGCTTGAAAGTATTCCATGGACACACACACAAAATGAGGATATTTATTCTATTCTTCAAAAAAAACATGATCAGCTTAAAATATTTTTTTATATTAGTTTTTAGAAACAATGAGCATATCACACACTAATCACAATGAAAATAATTATATTCCTGATCCCGGGGTGAGTTGTCTTCAGTGTTTGCTAGGACAAGGAGTAAGAATTACTGACTTTTTTCAGGAAATGTATTATTGCTTTGCCAAAATACTCATTACCTGTTTGTGGAGTGGTCTGATGCGAAGGAGGAGTCTCTTAACCAAAGAAAAGGGAAAAAAAAAAAAAAAAAAAAAAAAGAAGTTAACACATACATTTGCATGTCTTTGGATTTTGAATGGACTTTTATATTAAAAAATGAAAGTGAGATGAAGAATGATAAACGCTTCTGAGTGATACAGGTTCTCTTCCTTGTGTGTGTATTTATGTGTGTGTCATGCATTTGCATGTGTATATATGTCTCTCTCGTACATAAGAATAGAAAGTGGACAATGGACTTGCTCTTTAGACTGAAGTAAATATGGCATGTGGTTCACATGGAGATGTGTTTGTGTATGTTGTTATTTGTAAAGTGGTGCCTACATTATTTTTAAGTAAAACAAAAAAAAAAAAACTGCTTAAATTCATGTATACACTTACCCAGCAATAAAAGTAATAGAAGCTTTCCTGTAAACCAACATCCAAGTAAAATAATTAAAAAGTTATATTGTGAATACTAAGCTCAGACAGGTTCAGTTTTGAGAAGAAAATATTTTTGTCCATTAAACTGCAGAGTTTATTTCATTGAGTAAGCAGGCAAAAGATGCTTTAAAAAAAAACCTTTTTTTTTCTTAAAAATTTAAGTTTTTAACCCTATATTCTTTAAATTACAACCTAAAAGCCTACCTGAGATGAGCAGGTCTTTGGTGGTTGAACAATAGGCAGCGGGCATTTTATTTTAGCAGGTGCATTTGGGACTTAAATCTGTAGCTACTGCCCTTAGGCTTTGATGTTAGGCAAACATATCATTAATTATATTCCTGGTTCTGTATATTCCCTCTGTGAATTCGGAAACAACTGTAGCAAAGGCTGAACTTAAATGCTTCACTACTGTTACCAAGTTGATCTCTGCCAGGAAGAAAACGCCAAATTATTTTTACAGTATGCTTCAGCTTCTCAGAATTTGCATCATTCTTCTCCAGTCAAAGAGGAAATCTAATAAAACCCAAGTAAACCCCTCCTTAATCATTTCTAGCTCCTTTTGATTGTTCATTTTTTTCTTCCATATTTGAAATATTCTCCTTCCCACTGTATTGAGGCATATTAGCATAATTTGATAACATTTTCTTTTTATTGAAATACAATTGATCGTTGTAAAATTCACCCTTTCAAAGAATGCAGTTCTTTGGTTTTTAACACGTTTTCAAGGCTGTTCAGCCATCACCACTATCTAACGCCAGACCTGTGAGAAACCCATACCTGTTCATTGCCACAGCCCTTGCCCTCTCTCCCAGCTCCCAGAACCACCAATCCACTTTCCACTCTGCCCACCCCGGACATCTCAAATAAACAACATCGATTGTGTTGTGTCGAAATGGGCTTCTTTCCTCCAGCCTAATGTTTTTAAGGATCATCCATGTTGGTGCGTGATTCAGAATTTTGTTTCATTTTATGACTGAATAATACTTCACTGTCTGGATATAATACATTAGTTGATTCATTCATCAGTTGGATGCACTTTATGGATATAATACATTGGTTGATTCATTCATAAGTTGGATGGACATTTTGGGTTGTTTCCGCATTTTGGCTATTGCGAACAACGATGCTAAAAATATTCTTGTCCATGGTACTTGGCTTGCCGGGCTGCTTTCCTCAGGGAGCCTGGTCTTCTTCCCATCCCCTGACCACATGCAAGTCACCATTTCATTGACTTTAGGACTCCATCACATTCTCTACACTTAGTACATTCTTTACTAAACTCTGTTCCTTTTATTCATATGAAAATTCATCTACTACATTTGAGATTCAGGAGTAAGACCAGTGTTTGTATTTGTGTTCTAAACTATCTAGTATAGGGATTTGCAAAAGTCATGGCTTTCTAAATATTTATTGTTGGGTGTTTCTGGCTATTTAAAATGGAAGGTGAAGTGAAAATATTAGTAATATACTAGATTTGGGTTTGGGGATTTTTTCTATTAATATACCTGCTATGTACAAAGATAATGCATCTAAGGAAATTCACATAGATGCTGATAATTCTAAAAAAGCAGAGAAAAAGATGTAGCCCTTCTCTTATTATTCCTAATGGTCCATTAACAAAAACTTTGCTTCCCTCCTTTGGTCTTTGTTTAAAAAGAAAAAAAGCAATTCTTCCAACAGGTAACACAAATTAGTTCCATTGAACCAAATGCCAAGACAGCTATCTGGTCACTTAAGACCCTCATGCTCCTTAGTGAATAGGCAAAAGAGGGTTCTCTACCAGTTGGGGTGATTGTTCCTGAATATAAAGGGAACATGTGATGTTTACTATAGAGCTAAGGTAGCAGGGAGTGTTCCTGGAATGCATGAGAGCCTCCGGGGCACCTTTTAGAACTCTCAAATCCATTATTAGAATGTTGATAGAAGACCATAACGGCCCCAAATAGAACTAGCAATGATATCTATACTTGAGGGATATAGGTTTGGGCCACTTTACAAGGCAAGAAAGCAAGACAACGGGGTGCTTGTTGAAGTTAAGGGGAATTCGGAGGAGGTTGCAGAGAAAAGGAAATTCTATGTTTGAACGATGATCACGTGGCCAGCAATGAAAGCAACACTGTAGGAGTTACGATTGTGTTTTCCTTTTGTTTCGAGGTAAATATGTTAACTAGTATTCCCACCTCGCCTATTCCCCTACTTCCTTCCATAAGATAGTGTGAGAAGGTTTAGACTTCTATCTCAAAATTTTCACAAGTTATAGGCTGTCAAAGGTGTGTGACTTAGCTAGAAGAACCCTAGGTCACCCCGGTAAGGATAAAATGGCACATGAAACTTTGTGTAGCTTCTTTTTTCTTTCAGTTGTATGAGTGAATCTGTTAAAAGCAAGCATGTGTTTGCTGTTGTCTTATTTGAAAGATGGATGTGATTATAAGAAAGTCCCTGAATGGCATGCTGAAAAGGAGTGGATTATTTGGGATCTTGCCGTCAGTGTGTCTATAGATGCATTTTCTAAATTGTTTCAATGCTGTTTCAGGTTGGAATTGGTACAAAATAGGAATTTACATGAGGGTTTGGCATAAATCTCCTGTTTCCATAATGTTTACAGTGGGTCAAGCAGCTTCAGTAATAGCACAAGGACCACATAGACTTCAGCAAAAACCACAGAGGAAGGCTTAGCTAAATGGGTTGCCATGGAAAGTTTGACCATTCTGGGCCTGAAATATAAATTCAGGCCTTGCTGACTATCATACAGTCTTGGGGATTTAGCAGGTGGCCTATGGGTAATGAAATACTGTATGTTACCAGTAGGAAAAGCAGTGTAGGCCATCTAGAAAGCTCAGCAATTAACAGCAGCTCTGGGGACCTTGAAAACATACTGATACCCTGTATTTTTAGTTATTCCTTTACTTGGAAACCGTTAAATTTTCTCATAAGTGGCATAATGTTTAGTGATATAACTGTTGAGCACCAAAACATAGTGATGTAGGAAAAATAAGATTTTCACAGGCATCTGGATATGTAATATTGCGCTGTAGACATATCACTAATAGATACTTGTGTATGTCTGTTTTAAGTAAGCTCTATGTCCAGCATGGAACCCAACGTGGGACCCGAGATCCTCATGACCCTGAGATCAAGACCTGAGCTATGATCAAGAGTCAGACACTTAACTGACTGAGTCACCCAGGTGCTCCAGATATTTGCATATGTTAAGTGTTTAGTGAACATGAAAAGCCGTTCAGATAAACTTATCTAATACTGCTTTTTGTGATTCTCTATAGCCTTGGCCAAGTAATCCTTGGCTAAGGAAATGTAAACTTAATATTAGAGTATGGTGGTTGGTATGTAGCTGTGAGTGACTGTGCTCTCTTTTTAGCAAATAAAACAACAGACATGCTCAAGAGAAGCATTGTTGGTCAGAAATCTAAAGAAACGATTCTTAGAGGAATTTAAAACTGAGAATGATTTGGGCTGGATCTTGTGGACTTTCACAACAAAGAGTACATGGGTTTAAATGTACTTATAAACTTTAATACTTCTGAGTCAAAGCTTATAAATATTTATTATGTAGAGAAAAAATAATAAAAATAACAAACAGAAAAAAAAACACATCAGCTACTGAAATACATTTTGCATGATACATGC